GCTCGGAACAAACTCACCACTCCCTTCAGCCGTGGCCCATCTACTACTACAATGACGGCTGGATGCTGACCGCAGCCGTGACTCGCTGCTCAATATAGCTGTAAGTCACTGCTCATTACTGCTGCTGTAACTCGCTGCTTAGAACAGCTGAAAGTCACCGCTCATTACCGCTGGGACTCGCTGCTCAGCACAGCTGTAACTCGCTGCTCAGTACAGCTGTAATTCACTGCTCAGTACAGCTGAGACTTGCTGCTCAGTACAGCTGTAACTCGCTGCTCAGTAGAGCTTTAACTCGCTGCTCAATTCAGCCGCTACCCGGTTTAGAGTTAGCGGTATATGTTTGCTTTACTCATTTGCAATCACAGTTCCCTGTATCGTTTTGCCACATTTGTCTATTATGATGAACCAGGCAGCAACGCTGGTCCGTCTGTGAAAAATAAAAGAAATCAAGAGCTACTGCCCGGCGTTGTGGGGGCAGCGCCCAGCATTGGAGCAAGCCGTCTTTGTCGTCTTTGTCTTGCTGGAGCGTTCTGACGAGCGGCGGCCGTCGCCGTCACCTTCAGCCGGCTGGGTGATTGGCCAATGACTCTCTGCATTGTCCGGTCAATAGTGGCCCTGATGGGGTCGACACTGGCTGCCGAATGATGCCATCCTAGCCACCCCTCGCGATCAGGAGCACAGCAGCCCAGTCCGCTCGAGACAGCGGCTCCTGTCGAGACATGGCGGTCGTCTCCTCTCGAAACACAGGGACCGTCTCCATTCGAGACACAGCGGCCGTCTTCTTTCTAGACGCAGGGACCGTCTCCATTCGAGACACAGCGGACGTGTCCCTTCAAGACGCACCGACCGTCTCCCTTCGACATACCCTTCATTCGACATACCCTTCGACAACCCTTCGGCAGCTGTCTCCTTTCGAGACACAACGGCCGTAATTGAGATACAACGGCCGTCTCCCATCGAGACACAGCTATCTTCTTCCCTGAAGCAACAGCGGCTGTCTCCCCTCGAGGCGCAGTGACCGTTTCCCTTCCAGACATAGCGGCCTTCTCTCTCCTCAGAACACAGCGGCCGTTTGTGCCGAAGGACAGCAGTTGTTTGCTTGAAAGCACCGCGGTTGATTGCCCCGGGGCACAGCGGCCATTTTTCCGCTCTGCCTGCATGCGGTGGCTCTCCCTCTTGGTCATGTCAATCAGCTGTCTGTCAGGGCTAGAGCGAACGGCCAAGGGCCAGTGTCCCAGGGCCAACGCTCTCCCGTGCCCGCTCACACCGCAGCTGGGCTCTGTCGGCGCGCGGGCTGGTATGCAAATCGAACTGCACACGACAGCGGCGAGACGTGATCTATCGTCGGTGCTGGCCGCCAGCCGTTTCTCGTTGTTGGCATCCTGTATCCCGCCGTACTTTACGACGCGGAGAGGCACCGCTGTATTCCGGAGGTGGCCAAGCGCGGCCGGCGCGCCAATACCAAGCGGCGTGGCCGAACGGTCGCCCCGGCCGGCCGGTAAACCGCTGCCGACAGCCGCGAAATCCGAGCTGGCAGGCGCGTCATGCCTCCAGGTCGGCGTGTCCGCGGCCTAGCCCATCCCAGCCGGCGTGGAATGCCGTCTCGAATCGGGGTGATGAAATTCCGCACAAATTACCGTGGTGAATGACAGCCAGTAGCCGCGCTGAACATAGCTGCCCTGGGTAATACAAGTACCCCACGCAGCGTGACACCAGCGAGACTGTGGACGCTCGCTGAGTCGGGTTTGGGTTTTGATGATGTCTGTCAGACCTGTGTCTAATTTCGCTCCGGCGGAATCCGTGATTCCAAATAACAACGCATGGACTGATTTCGTCTCTGACCTTGAACAGCACAGCACAATGTTGAGTCGACGTCGAATCAGTCTCAACGGGGTACGCCTTACAGAGAATGTTCCACATTGTAAATTATTGGGGCAAGCACTGGATATGATGAAATGCAGCTATTTGAATGTAACTAATATGTATGTGACTAATAAATAGTGTGACTAAATGCAACTTTCAAACGTAACTAATATGAAACAATTGTTACTATTGCCATGCTTTTAAGTGCAAGTGACTGCTTTAGACAACAAAGCTTCACCACTTCATAAATATGCTCCTCAATACGTCATCGGTTGATTATGCTATGGAACATTTGTATGACGTCAGGGTGTCTGCCAAACCGCTCGTGCGAACTTGCCGCCGTAGCGGACGGGCTGACTCACTTGTTGTAATTAAACTTACCGTGAGGTGTCGTGCTGATCGGTACATTATTTGCAGAACCCAAATATCGCGACGAGCGCGTGTTTTGGCCCTTTCTCGTGTCCTTGCACATTAGTCCCTGATTTATATCGCTACTTGCATTCACATTCTCCATTGTCGCACTACTCTTAAGTTCGACTCGCTGTCTTATTTCGGTCATAACTTGTGCCACTGCCCATATTACCGTTTGATATAGCACAAGACCTGATTCGTGTTGGAAAGTTGCACTGAACGTAATGCATTGATTGAGGGTAACCTGTAGTCCGTTGATGCCAGAGATCATGCTGACAGGAAGTTATGTTGTCTAGAGCAGTCTTTAACACTTCAGAGCGAACCAAAAATTTGAAGTGAGCTTATTTTATTACAGATAATGTTTGCCTCAATATCTTCAGATGTGAAACATTTCATTTAAAGGGAATACGTCACATCTGAAGGTATTAAAGCAAGCATCACATATAATAAAACAACCTCATTTAAAACTATTGACATACTTTAAAATACAAAAGACTGCTGCACATAACACAATTTTCTGTTATGTAAATATGCTCCTCGATGTGCCATCGTTTGATTACGCCACCGTACCTCGTTCAACATTGATTAAGAGGCAATTGACGGCCATGATATCTGGAGATCGTGCCAACGAACGCCAGATATGAATGACTCGACAAATACGGCTTTATTGGTCTTGATCGCTGCATGGCTTGTGCAATGACAGACTTTGAATGACGTTATTATGACGTCATGAATGCCAAGGCGACCTTGGAACACTCTCCCCGAAACACTCTCCCCATTTTCGCGGGCGTGTGCGTCAGAAACTTGAGGGGGTTAGGGTTTAAGGAGGACAGGGCTGCGGACTGCACCAAAAGGTCTTCAGTGTCTGTTTCAGCTCAAAATCCCATACAAATGTGGAAAAATCCCTTCAAGGCAAGAACAAAGTCTGATGCAGTATATTCCGGGAACAACAAATTATAAACGTTTTTATCGGCTTTATGCAAGTCTGGTTGGGGAAAATATTATGGTAATAGAACGGTGATTAATATGTTACTCAATTTGCGGCACGTACAGTAGCTCTCTGATTTGGCGCAATCAGACAGCTTGTCAGATTATCAGACAGAAGATCAGACAGCAGCTTTCAGACTTGGTGCATTGTAGGAATTTTGATGCTCTGATGCGCAACTACAGCTCAGACGAACCATGGGGTGGGCGGGAAAACAGTGAGAGTGCGATTGGTGCATTGCCCGCATCTTAAACACGAAGTTATGTACAAAGTAAAACAAAGTCATTGCCTGTGTAGGCAGTTTTGAATAGGCGTACCTTTTATACCTTGCGACACAAATGCGGTGGTAAAACAGTTGATGCTTTTGCCTTGAATGAACCGAGAGCTTAAGGAGACAAATCACAGAAAAACGTGTCGAAGATCACAAAAAAACGTAGTAGAAAAACGCCCTGCAGAAGCTTATCTACATATTTCGGAAACTCTCGTCGCATTGACAAATGTTGTTTAGACTCTGAAGATGCGGCGGGCGTCATGAAACTCTCGTAACTTTGCGTCATTTGCGAGGAAGCGGGCCGGCAAGATAAGAGCACGATGCATTATCTGCCTTCATTAGCAGAGTGGGGCGAGCCGAGGCCGAATCACAGCAATCAACGTAAGAGCGATGCGCCCAGTTAGGCACTCCTGCGCGAGGACTAACCAGATCTGGATAATAAAAGCTCTCTGAGATTTGCACAACCGGTTGGGCATACGAAAGCTCCGCTGGTCTGAGCAGTTCGGGCGCACTCAGAACTGCACTGGCCTGGCGCCCGGGGTCGGTTACGAGGACGAACTGCGCCGTGTCGGTACTGCGATGTCAGGAGATGGCTGGCGCCGCAGTCAGTTGTCCAAGATTGCGATGGGATTAGGCAAATATAGCGTCTGGACCCCGAGCGGCTCGCACGTTCCCGGACGCTTCGGAGGTATCTCTCCCTGCTCGTAATAATGAGCTTTTTCGTGGGCTGTGGAGCTGTGTTTCTGGTAGGCTGTGGAGCTCCCTGGCTGGGACATTTTCTGGCTGATCCGCAATGGTGGGGTGTGAGCTCATTAGCTGTTGTTGCTGCTGGCTGCGGCGTGGCCCTTTTTTATGCCACAGAAAACGTCTCTAGTGCAGCGACATCTCATTCCGGCCAACGTAGTTAGCAGCCGAATGCAGGCTGATTGTGGGAAATCGAACACAGGACTTTGGGAAGCCGAGCCGGAGGCAGCTAGGACCATCAAGGAGCCAGCGCATCAGCTGGATAACCATGGCTACGGTGTCTGATTTCCATTGTTTTGCCACGAAACGCACATCAGCAAGCCTCTCTGTATACTTATTTCTTCGCATATTTAATATCTAGATATCTCTGTATATTTATTTCTTCGCATATTTCTTCGCATAATATGCAGTGCTTATATATATATATATATATATATATATATACACATATATATATAATATATATATATATACATATATATATATATATATATACAAAGAACCGCTTTTTTATTTTTTCGCGTTCAATTTGTCCTCGTTTACTTTGGGGCGAGCATAATCTGAACACGACTGCGCACCGCCGGTGTGTACACTGCCGGGGGATATGGACGGGCCTTCGAGGCTCCTGCACGACCACCTGTCGGAACTCCTGACTGTAGAACCGCCAACAGCCCGGTGTGGCACCCGTCTGGCGGCCGGCTGACCGTGCCTCCCTCTGCCCGGCAGCTGATCGACACCAACGGCGACGGCGTCATCACCCTGGACGAGATGGAACAGTGGTGCACGCGGGACGAAGGTGCGTGTGCCGCCGCTCGTGCCCTTCGGCCGGAGCCGCGTGAGAGAGGGGCGGGAACCAGACCAAGCGGGACCGCGCGGAGGGGGGGGGGGGGGCCAGACCTAGCGGAGCGACGGCGACGCCGCGCTGCTGCCTGATCATGATCCGCCGTCATGTGACTGCATGATGACTCTAGCAACCGGCCACTGGCCGACGTCATTACGGCAGCACGACCCACGCGACCAGCCAGGACTATTTAAGGGAGCAATGCTTGTTTATGTCGGAAGACATCAGAACAATTCACTGGGTGAAAGGGAAGGTCATCGTTGAAATCAGGTCGTGACAGTTGTCATCGCGGCTTAACTTAAGTTTTAGCTACACAGTCCTCTACCACCATGTGTTTTCGACTGACAATTCAGGTGTCACTGCGCGAAGGCTGTCCATCTACGATCTCAGTATTGCGCGAGGAAACGCTGCATACATTATGAGTTGCTGACATGTGATTGCATCGTATATGCCATCCGAAGCTTTGTATGAATATTGCGAAATTATTCATGAACGCATTGCAATGAAGGCAAGCTTAAAGACAGGAACCTATGCATGAAGAGTACAATGTATTCCAGGGGCGAAAGCAATTTAAAAGAGTACGTGAACCGACTGAGTGAACCATGTGAACTGTCGCTCCCACCTGATGACGTTTTTTCAAAAACATGTTAATTTCTCTGACCTATCGGGTGCTACCAGACAGTTGTTATAGCCGTTACACGCCACATCAGATGCGGACAAGTCCAGGCCATCACTGGCAACTGACTGCTTTGATAATGTGCCGTTTGGCCTGACATCGGTCTGATGATCTCAGCGACCACCATCACGTAAGCCTCTCGGGAGCCGCTGGCCGTGTCTGCTGTCTCGGCTGTTACGGGCTCACTGACCGCGCTGGAGCCAGGGGCTCTCGCCCACTGATGCAGACCGCTGTACCCGCGAGTTCGGGTCCTAACGCGTGACGCTCCCGTCCGCAGGGTACACCAAGTCACTAGACATGCTGAACACGGTGTGGTGATGGCCGCGAGCCGCACGAGAGTCGCCTCCCGCCAGGCTGACGGCGTCCCCACCTGTCCGCGGAGCCGGCGCCGGCCGGTCCCCCAGACGGCGAGGGTCGAGGAGCCCCTCCCCCGCAGGCTCACGAACAAACCCTTCACCTCGCTCCCACGGGTCTCAGCCCCGACGCGGCTGCATTTTAGCGGGCCGCCGCGTCCCAGCGACGCCGCAATAATTGGCCGCCGACGCCGGGGCGCGCGCTGGGCGTCGGGCGAGGCGCTGGCGGTGCGGAAGGCCAGCCTGCCGAGAGCTGTTCCAGCCGGCGCCCTCCGCTGCACCACTCAGCCTGAGGTGTCCTGGCTAGCCGTGCGGCCGCATTTCCGAGTGCCGGTGAAGGGTCCTCTGCCCGCAGGTCGACAAGGCCGCACAGGATGACTATGTCGTTTGAAGCGCGATGAATAATACGCAACATAAACAGTTTAACATGTGTTGAATGAAAACAAGCTTCTTGTTGTCGGCATGTTGACTGCATGTCGGCTTCCCCGAGCTAGGCCGACCAATAGAAGATGCCGTTGATTAGGATGACAGTAGATCAATACGGTCAATCTGGCAGCATGCGACTGGCGGCATTTACGCATAAGACTGAAGGATGGCGACAGGAGACAAAACTAGGCTATTATTAGCTCTTCAACCACTGCTGGATTGCCGCCCTCTTGGCACGTTTGGCACAGACACTTGACGCCGATCGGTTTTGATGGCCGAGGACAGAGCGTGCGGATATCGCCACCTGGACGTGACCAATCCGGTCACATCGGGCGTATCAAGGTGCCCGACCTCGTCTCCCCACAGGATCGGCTCCCGTTGATAGCGCAGGCCTGCAGCCAGCGGCGTTACCGCTACAGGCCGCGTCCACCATTGGTGTTCTTTATCCTCGTACTCGCCTAGCGCTGAAGGTTTTCACTGAGGTCATGCTAGACTAGCCAGTGTTGGATCGCCGGGAACCTGCCCCGGTGTCGGCCATCGATCTAGTGGACCTAGGACCCCTCCATTTACCAGTTTTCAGCTCCGTCTGATGCGTGTCGCGTACCTCGTTCGTGTCCCCATGAGCCGGCACGCGTAGTGCCAACTTCCTGGCCGGGCACGGCCGGTGGCTCACGAGATCGACTGGCGGCGGCGGGCGGCGGAGCGAGCGTGCGCGGCGGGGCCCAGCGGATCACCCCACCCCGGACTAGAAGCCAGCCCCATTACGTCCGGTGATGGTCTCCCTCTCGCTCCCCCCCACCAGCGTGGCCCGGTCTGCCGGCGGCGGCCGCTCCCTGTCCCCGTCGCGGGCCCATTGACCTGTCACGGCCTACCGTGATCATTAGCAGGGACCTGCTGTTACTTCTGTGTTACTCTGTGGCGATGCCGCACTCTACCCTTCCGCGACAGATGTTGTTACCTGTCATTGAGCTTAACTAAATAAATCCAGTTCATTCGGACAGTCTTTGAACATCATGTTGCATTTGGGGACGAAGGAAGAGTGCGGGTACGACGTCATTACGTGAAGCACGTTTGGGCAAAACCGCGATTTGATTTGAAATCGGTTTAGCTTAAACACAGTGTTGAGTAGCAGACATATCACTTACGAGAAGTTCCCGCGACTACAAGCGCCTTCAAATGTAATTCCAATTCGAACAGAAAACTTAGCGGCAACTCACACTGTTTTCCATTGTTTTCCACATTTCCTTTCCATTCCATTTTTCAAAGACATTGTTGCACTTTATATGGCTGCGTCGTAAAACACAAAGATTTGCATAGCATCAGCCCTCGGTTCACGGATGTCGGATGTTCGATCAGCCAGTATCAGGGGGGGGGGGGGGGGAGGCGCCTGATGACGCACCAGCCACCGCTGCGACACAGCAGCCAATGTCGGAGGCGCCTGATAACGCACCAGTCACCGCTGCGGCACAACAACCAATGTCGGAGACGCCTGATGACGTACCAGTCACCGCTGCGACACAGCAGCCAATGCCAGAGGCACCAGATAAGGTACCAGTCACCACTGCGACACAGAGACCAATGCCGGAAGCGCCTGATAAGGCACTAGTCACTGCTGCGACACATTAGCCAGGCGGGATCTCCTGTTAGGCCTTTAAGCCCACTGTGGGCCCTCGGCCGATATAGGGACCCCTCATTGACTCAGGGACCACGACTGATGTAAATCGCGGGCCTCGGCCTCGTTCCTGCTTGGGAAATGGGTCCCCAGGCCCAGACTGACACGAAGCCGGCTGTTCGGTGCTGAAAGCCATTTGACTGGCATTTGAAGACCCGGCCCGCTGACCCAGGACCCTTAATACGACCTCCGGCCAGTCCTTAGGTACCTCCGGACCCTTTAATCGTGTCCTTAATCGTTGGCCTCAGGAACCCGGGCTCCTCAGGACCTAAGGGGATGGGGGCAGCGTACTACCTGTGCCCCCCTGCCTGCGCCACTGGGAGAGAGACACGCGTAGCCGTGCGCTTCTCTTGAATGCGATCTTGCTTTGGTTGCTATGCTTCGCTAGCTCCAGCCGTCAAGGGTGGGAACGGAAACAAAACACCGCTGCTTTCAACAAGGTCTCCGAACGGTTCGTTGGGTTACCCCTTGTGAATAACTGGGCGGGTGGATGGATGTGTTGACAAGTCGCTACTTCAGGGCGACACCTGCACTCGTCTTCAAATGTTTTCGTAGCTTCGCAGAGGCGCGACAAAGATGCTGAAAAACAGAGATGAAAAACGATGCGGTGGTGGAGGATCTCGCTCCAGACACAGTTAATCCCACACACGGTACACACAACTATTGAAGTAGTAATCTTTCACAAGCCATCATTTTACTCCACGTGTTTGTGATGGCACCCTGCATCGTGCTCGGCTAGACCCATGGGAGTGTACCTGTTGCCACTGTAAAACCGGCAGACCTAAGCCGTCCATCTATTCTCAGCCCAGGCCATCCAGCCAATATAGGGCGACCGTGAGACGGGCCGACCAGCGCGCGTACGACGATTGTGGGGCGTCGGTCTCGACCACAACCCGGCACCGCCAGGTGCGCGCTCTCTCTCTCTCTCCCTCTATCCCTCCGTCTCTCGCTCTTTCTCCATCACTCTCTCTCTCTCTCTCTCTCTCTCTCTCTCTCTCTCTCTCTCTCTCTCTCGCTCTCTCTCTCATCTCTCTCTCTCTCTCTCTCTCTCTCTCTCTCTCTCTCTCTCTCTCTCTCTCTCTCTCTCTCTCTCCACTCTCCGCGCGGCTTGGGAGGACACAGGGACGCTCGCCGAATGGTGTAACGCTAGGTCGGTAACGAGTCCCACGAGAGGTGGACTACCTGGCGTGTCACGCCGCGAGGCCAGCTCTGCTGATCAGCTCCTGGTATACGGTACGCGGCTCCTGGCTGGTCGATGTCATTACCGTGGTGCTTCCAAACACGAAGAATAAGAACTGAGGTCCTTGATGGTCGCGTCAAGCCGTTCATGTGCATTGCGTTGCCGTTAGGACATTCGAGATTGAGGACATATCAGATCAATTACATAAGTTACGTTACCAAACTCACCACCATGCACATGCTTCACTGACTGTCACGGGATCAATAGTGACAAAGATCATCCAGTGCCACGGTCATGCCAAGAGAAATAGCGCAATAAGGTGCCATCATTCCGAAGGCAGTTGTATAAGCCTTTTTACGTCGTGTGTCCCGAGTTCAGGATCATCCAAAGTCAAAGCGACGATAGGTAATGGCATGACCTCGTATAGCATTACCTTGTCCGTTACACGTAATCTACAGAAGTCTAAGAAGACTGCTGCAAAGTGAGAATTGATGTAAGAACGGACAAAAAAAAACCCCCAGAAAAACTTGATTTCATTTCACCCAACTAGTCGTGTCAAACACAAATACTTCTGAAATTACGTTGGGCAAAATTGTGGGAACAGTCGGGGACCCCGCCAGTGTATTTCCTGTTCCCACGCGTCAGGTGTGAGGAGTACATGAGCCGCCATCGGGAATGCGCGGCCTGCGCTGACCGAGGTGGCTGAGCCAGACGGCCCTCGCCGACGGCTGGTGGAGGCGCGGAACGACCACCACGTTACCCTGCACTGGTGCCAGTTGTAGCGCACGAAACGTTGCGACTGGCGGAGCTCTTCGACCTGCCCCCGTAACCCTGATCTGGAGCGCGCCGCAATCATACCACGTGCTTTACCGAGGTCTGTCAGTTTGCTGTCTGTCAGTAGGTTGTAATTGTGTCAGCGAGTACAGGAAGATAAACCACAGGTGGTTATTGGTTACGGGTCGAGAGCAATGGCCATCACTTACTTTTTACGTGTGACTGTGCATTTGTTATACCGACGTGTAGAGCAAAAATGGAAAGACGGAAATCACTGGAAAGACGACAGAAGCAGAAATACTCCCGGCTAGATGTTCGGACAAGGCCAACACCGGTTGACTTCGGACTGACACCAAGGACGGGCGCACTGGAGTAGTTGGAGGTAGCCGAGCGGTCAAACTGACCAGCTCCCCGGCTAGATGTTCAGACCAGGGCCAACACCGGTTGACTTCGGACTGACGCCAAGGCCAGGCGCACTGGGGTTGGAGGTAGCCGAGCGGTCAAACTGACCAGCTCCGCTCTGATATCAGCGTGTAACTTCACGAATGGATTTGGTACATGGATGCCCGAGGGGCTCCCGTTAAAAAGGATATGGTCCCAGTTCTTTCCAATCGGGAAACTTGACATTGAGATGCAAGGGATCATCCTACCATTGTTAAACAATAAGTTTGACGAGCCTTCGCAAGCGTTAGCATCTGAAAGCATAACTTTGCAGACAACAAACGGATGAATCTTAATTGCCGTCCAGTCGCGCGCAGCACTGGCTTATTTATGCTTGCAATGATGTATCACGTACCATGCCACACACACGAGCTCAACACACACAAAGCCAACGGAGACGGGATCGGGCCGGCACGACAGGCACCATGATGTAGAGCCACTCGGATGGCAGAAGTCAGTGGCCGGGCATGACCATTCCATTCCTAGCCACTTCACACCGAACGCTAACTGCACCGCCCGTTCACAGCGGGAGGAGCGCCGTGTCCGGGGAGGGGGAGGGGGAGGGGGAGGGGGAGGGAGGGGGCGTGCTGTGACGCGCGCTCGTCTCCCCACGCCGCCGGCGGTCCCAGGCCGTTCCGCGCGCCGCTCCGTCCGGCCCATTTGAGCCGAGTGGGCGCGACAGGCGACAAACACACGGGGTGAAGCGGACGCCGCTCCGCTGGCGGCGCCGTGTATTCGCACAAAGGTCACTCCTGGCGTCAAGAGGTCGGCGGCCGGAGCGGCTCCGGCGGTGCTGCCCGGCGGCTACCGACGGGCCGTTTGGCCGCTCCGGCACGGCGCCGCGTCGAATCGCTGGGACTCGGTGGCGGCGGCGGCCCAGCACCCCGCGTTCGTCGGCGCGCCGGACCGCTCCGGCCAGCCGGCCGGGCCGGTGAATCGAGATCGACGAGATCCGTCCGACGAGCGTGTTTCGAGGTCGCGCGAGCCGGGACAAGGCACACATTGGTGGAACTTCGTATCCCTGAAGGGGACCTGACCTCCCGCAATTTTGAGCCGGCCTGTTCCCACACTACCTGAACCACTATGCCGAACGCATTGGAAAAATATAATGGGACTTTTCTCTTTTTCAAATACGAGCTTTGTTTCACCAACACTTGTGAGGAAGTTCCGTCCCCGAGGGCACATTCACTGAGCGCGGCACAGCGCGCAGTTCCGTACCTTCACCACCACCAGCACCCACCACTGAGCCCAGCACCCCCCGACTCACAACCCACAACCAGGCTCAAGGCCCACTGCCAGCACTGTCCGTGTGCCGCCGAATCAAACGGCTGGAATGGCTGAAGCATACTATAAACGCAAACAGGTGTTGTCCCGTTTCAGTCATATCTTACAGATAAGTCTCCACAATCACCACTCTGATATGGTCGACAAAGAAGTATAAAATTCGCCGTAAAAACACGTCGCGACACTAAATCGCGATAAAATTGCCGTGCTCGTCGATTACAAAACACAATTTCACGCCCGACGTCCCGTAGGTGCCCTTTGAGCGGATTAATACCGTTGATACAACGTCGGCGGCGCGCCGGGCGTCCGCGCTTGCACTCTCGCCCCGATTGGCCGGCTCACTGGGGCGGGCTGGGGGCCGGGCCCACCCCGCCGGCGTGGCGGTACACGGCCTCGGCCACCTGGTGCGCCAGCTGATCGGCGGCAGGCGCGCGTCTCGGCCTCGGCGTACACCCGCACCACGTCCTCCGTGCCCGACGGCCTGCGGACAGACGCCGTTCACAGGTCACACGTCGATCATGGGCCGAACGGAGGCACCGGGCCCGAGGTCACGCGGGTCAGGTCAGGTCAGATATCGGGCCCAACGAAATCACATATTCTATGTGGCACGGCATGACAACAGGCACAGGTCGTGGGGCGGAGGTCAGACACACGCACCGGCCGGAGTACGCACGGAGTAGTCCGTCCAGCACAGGCATCAGAGCAAGCAAGCGTCAAAGCGAAGCGTCATGTCAAGTGTCAGTCCAGGCGAGTTTCCCTTCGGCCAGGATGCAGGTAGGTGCTCTCTCCACTCAACGGCCCGGCAAATCGGCCACAACCCGCCTGTGACGGGCGTCCCCATCTTCAGGGGGGGGGGGGAGGGGGGTCACACCATCACCACACGAAGGCAGTGCGCCACTGGGTTGCAAGAGTCACGCGAAACCGTTCCACAACACTGCGGACAAGCCCAAGATTGCACTCACATTTGGCCCCCTGCCGCTTCTGCGAGTTACAATGACAAAGAGGGCATTTTTGTTTGCAGCCGAGGCGAAATGCCCGAAGCGCCCAAGTGACACTTCATAGTTTTATAATCGGTGGTCCCGGCACCATCACTCACATACTGAGCAACTTCCGCACCGAGTCGATCAGTGTGTACGGCACCAGCCGGCATGCTCCGAACAACCGCTCCACCGGACAAAAGGAGCCCTCTCCCCGTCTCCGCCGCTTGCGTGTCTCGTCGGCGGCACGCGACGTTTATGGCAGTAATAGACAACGGTAGCTGTCTGTGACGGTAGCGGGCCGCAACGTCGGCCAGCGGCGCCTCTGCACGAGGGTTGGTCGCGGAAATACGCGCGGAAAGCGAAACCAGCCAAGACGAAAGAAGAAAAGGAACAGCGCCGGGCAAAGACGATTACGCATTTATCCAGAGCGAAATCTGTTTGCTTACGCTGCTAAAATCTTAATGCAGATATCAGGTGCCCAAGCACGTCAAGCGGAATGATAATCGATTCATCACCTCATTTTATGACCCTAACAAGCGCATCCCTGCACTCCACGGCACCCGAATGCGACAAGCATTTAATCTCCAAGCGTCAATCTTGAATCTTTAAAGGAAATCAGACAGCAACTTGCCTACCCATCGCGTTCAAACCAACGCGCAATCATTTCAAAAGCTCCTCCATCGTACTGTTTTCGTCGGGTGGTTTACTTCTAACCGCCGCTAGATCTCCACTTAGACTAAAAGCCTCGGCCATCCAAGAGCGAACTTCTCCCGCCGACATCCGGAGTCAAGAATTCCGCCGCACCGCGGTCGGAGACCCCGCGAAGCTGATCAGCCGAGCTCAGCGCGACTCAGCTCGCCTGGGGACCGGCCGAGCTCGGGGCCGCCGGCGGCCCGCTCCGCCGCGCGCGTGTGGAGCGGGCCGGCGCAACGATGCCCGGCGGCGGACTGGACAGCTCAGCCGCTACCGATGACCACCACCCCACGGCTCGTATAAATACGGTTGCACCACTGGCGCCAGCTGCCAGACGACGATTTATTTTCGCTCCTCTCAGGCAAGAGAATCGGGCAAATCTCGTTCCCTGTCTCGTGGGTTTCTAATGCCACGTCTTGCTGAGAATATGCCCAATATAAACCTGTTAGAAATGCATAAATCGATGTCAGCAACAATAAAGAAATACGGAAGGGGGGGGGGGGGGAGCGGATGGTGCTGAAAAGCGACTCATCTGCGTCCTGATTTAGTCGAAACGTCCAAAGGTAGCTACTAAGCATTTCAGCAGGTACCAAAGGTAGAACAAACTGACAACAAGGTACCCTTTTGGCTCAGCTAGAGGGATTTTCTCCGTCCGAAATCCACGCTAAAGACCAGTCCTTCGAATCTCTTCTTCAGCCCTTTTCTGCTATTCCCGGTGGACGCCAAGATCGGAGACCGGAGAGGAGAGGAGACGGAGAAAGAGGACAGGTGTGACGTCATATCTCCGCCAGGAGTTCAGCACGTCAGACCCATCAACTGTCAGCTCGTGCGTTCAAGGCATTTTTTCTTATCAGCCCTGTCAACGGCGTGATACTCGTATCAGCGAGGCACGTGTCCGGCAATCGATTGAGTCGTCTTACATACTTTCACAATACACTCTTTCCTGCCACAGGCATGTAAGCGAACCGTGATTATTTGTCGGCGAGATCTAAAAACAGCGGTCATAGTTCTATACGGCACATGTAGAGAAAACAACCACAAGGAGGGATTGAAACCTAAAAATAGCAGTTTTAGTATTGAACATTTTAACAGTGGAACCAAGTGGAAAAAATGAACGATGCCCATATCGCTACGGACCTCCCTCGATCACTCTTGCATCGCCTTCACTCAAGTCCTTTGCCGATAATCTTGGTCTTTTAACCCACCGCGCGACCGTGAAGCCACTTTAGAGCGGACCTTGCCCGTGCTGATCACTTCCAAGCATGATTTGTACCACATTGAGCAAATGAACTTTGTATCATTCAGATCGTGAAAGGCGATAAGGGCCTTCTCCTTCAGAACATTCAACACCTGTTCAGGGCCACACTCATTTTACCTTACCATATAAATAATCATTGACAGTGAATAACATTTGGTCGATCCAAATAAATATCATTTGGAAAAAAAACAAACGTAAAAGTTTGAATATGTACATCAGTTACAGCTACCACACGGCCTGCAGTGTCCAAATATCATGGAAAACAACTAAAGAAGTGATGTACATGGCGAGAAACACGTAAACATACATTATATACTAGTCCAATGAAGCCCATTAACACTTACGGGAATAAATGCCAACATCCTTGAGGAACGTCCTTGCGGAGACCCTTATGTCAAAATGCATGCTTATATTCATATGACCAAGATAATCGCTCGCGGTCGTAAGCTGCAGCTAGAAGCGGAAATGCACACAACACATTTTACACATCAATAGATTCATAAATACAGCCGCAAATACATATTATGGAGTCAGGTGAGGTCCGAACAAACTCAGGCTGGTCAGGTTAGTGCAATGCTGAGGGCGAAATGGAGTGACACCACACGTGGAATACATCAACTGTTTCTGCAGAGTAACTGTGTTGTCGCAGAGGACGCCAAAACAGCGATACTGGTGGGAGATGATTCGAGTGGCGGGGAGAGGACTGAAATGCGGACGAGAGGGATGCATGGTCGGGCGGCCACTGTTATCCTCTGCCAAACAAGCTGTGCGGCCCTCTAGAGCCGTACTGTTCAATTCTGAACTTATAATCTTTATGTTGGGACCATCCTTGGGGATAATCCTTGTACCCTTTAGAGTTGCAATTTTTGGTTCGGCACTCGGCCGATGCTAATAAGATGACGGCTTAGCGTTCGGAACGCCGTCCAACCCTTAACTGAAGCATTTGGAGCACGACATAGCACATCCATACAGCTTACTTTGTGACTGATTAATTCGTATATCTCCAGAAACTTCTATCAATATTCTTCAGGAACTGAACGTGATGGTGCATTAAACGCGAACGAGACCTGGCGCGAAAATTGCCGGTCGTCTTGCCTGAGCTGCGCCGGAATAAATCGATGTCCAGCAACTGACGCTGGTGGTGGGAACCTGTGCCAACCAACGGCGCTGAGACTCGATTCATTCGTAAGATATGCTCGTATGTGTCACGCTTCGAACACTGCAATAAAAAACAGCTCTTCCGACGGCCAATTCGATAACGTTAAGAGGTGAGACTTGCTAAGATGGACACTCGTGGAAACAATCACACAGGGATACGTTAAAGACAAACACGTACACACACACACACACACACACACACAAACACACACACACACACACACACACACACGCACACGCACACGCACACGCACGCGCACGCGCACGCGCACGCGCACGCACACGCACACGCACACGCACACGCACGCACGCACGCACGCACGCACGCACGCACGCACGCACGCACTTAATATATATATATATATATATATATATATATTCATTAAGCTCATTAAGTAAATATTTCCACGGTTCACGCTTAAAAGACGTGAGCGACATAGTTCGAGATTCCGGAAGTAAAGCGTTGTAGACTTGTACGAGACTGTACAAAAAACTCTGCCTATGCGCCTCCGCTTTCACACGGGAGAGGTTGATCAGCGTACTGACGGGTAGAGCGTGAGCGAAGACAAGAGCTGTCCTGTAGCGATTCGCCAGTGACGCTTTTTGTGAAACAAGTTAATTGGAGTGCTGTTGGTGGCGCTGACTGGCAGCAGGCCAGCCCATTCCTCACGCACGTCCGATATAAGATAAAATTTGCGACGGTCGGAGGCAATGCGCAGCGCAACTTTCAAGATCTTTTGAAGGCGTTGTGTTTTTTTCCCCGACCCGTTGCCATAGACGGCAAGGCAATGTCGGACGCACGAGAGGACCAAAGCGTTGACCAGGGTAGGGCAAAGGTCAGACGGGATCTGATGACGCACATGGGACAGCCTGATGAAGATACCGTTGCATTATGAGAAGGGCAGGCACGTGGGAGTCCCAGGTGAGGCGCTTGTGTAACACCACACCAAGGTTCCTCACGGTGGAACCCTCATGCACGGCATCCTCGCGAAACCGAACAGTGATGGGAGCCAAGCCACGGCAATTTTGCAGGAACCACAAACTACAAGTTCCGGTTTACCAACATTTACTTCCATACCGTGAGAGTGAATCCCTATGTCCGGAGACTCAAGTACCTGCTCCTATGTAGCAATGAACTGTAGCGAGAGTCTCCTTTACAGATATCAACACTTCGTCATCATCAGCTTACTGAGAAACGTGCGCATCAGGGGCGAGCAGGGAGAAGTCGTTGACAAATACCTGGAGAAGCGGGCATAGAGGTGATCGCTGGAATACGCCGATTGGATTGGACAGGAGCTTAAAGGGGTGTCGGCTACCGCGCCCGTCAACGATACCAACAGACTGGGTATGTCCGTAGAGGTAAGAAGGGGTACGATCGATAGAATGGGCTTG